ACCAGTATGAAAATAATGGCCAACATAATCATACCAACACAGACACCACTGCTGATAGTGATGATGATCATCAGTATGAAGATGTGGACAACAAAAACGATCAGACAGGGCAGGGGCGGTCTCTGGCGATCACTAAATCCAACATAAACACCACAGCTACTGTAGTGACCGGTGATGATGATCATGGGTATGAAGATGTGGACGGACAGCAGAATCAGAGGAGGCAGGGCCAGTGTCAGGCCATTGCTCAATCCAACACAAACACCACAGCTACTGTAGTGACCGGTGATGATGATCATGGGTATGAAGATGTGGACGGACAGCAGAATCAGAGGAGGCAGGGCCAGTGTCAGGCCATTGCTCAATCCAACACAAACACCACAGCTACTGAAGTGATCAGTGATGATGATCACCAGTATGAAGATGTGGACGGACAGCAGAATCAGAGGAGGCAGGGCCAGTGTCAGGCCATTGCTCAATCCAACACATACACCATTGCACTGACTAGTGATCATGATCACCAGTACGAAGACATGGGCATACAAGACTATCACACAGGACAGGGCAAATCTCAGTCCCCTACTATTAACCATGGTAAATCGTTGGATGCTACAAATGTAATATACACGACTGAGCCAGCGGCCACACAAATCATTCAGCCTGTGTACACATGTGAAAATGATAAGACAGGCCAGGCTCAGGCTCAGGCCATCACTGATTATGATGAATCATTGGATTCTAGAAATGGAATATACACGAACGAGTCGGCTGTCTCCAAGCCTGATGCTTTGTACATGTCTGAAAATGATAAGACAGGACAGGGTCAGACACAGGCCGTCAATGATCATAATGAAATGTACATCAGTAATCCGGAGGCCGCGCAGCCTAATTTTGTATACAAAAAAGGAAAAAGGAAGGGCAACATTTAACCACAGCACTAAATACAACACCTACTATGGTTGGTGTAAATAAATTTGTATATATAGTATCACTGTTTTGTATTTTTTTAAATGCACATTGTCTATTTATTTGTGGGCATGGTGGCCTTGAAAACGTGCACTTAGGTGCACCTGTTCCACCATGCCCCCAATGTATATTATGTATGTGGTTAATTGTAATAAATTAATAAATGTAATGAACAGTAAACATGATCATATAGAGCAAGGCCAGGAAGCCTCCCTCAACTCTAGATCCTAGAGCAGCACATGATGGCCCCTACCATTAAAACAATGGTTATATTTTTTACTTTAGAGATTTAATAATGTAGAGATAGATGCATTTGTTACAAGGCAATACAATCAATATAATTACAAAAGGTGAAAATGAGCCGACGGAGCAGGGCAAATTTTTGCCCTACCAGTAAATCCGACAAACATCGTGGGTGTGTGGTTGATACGATGAGAGAAAGTGCCAACCCTCAAAAAAGATACCAATACAAAAAGAAAGCCCGATAAAAATGCTAAGAATAAGCAAAATCCAAACCTCTCCATATGGAATTAAAAATTATAATGATACTTCTAATTAGTATTATAACCAGAGCACAAGGCATCTTGTTTCATGTAGCATCAGCATGTAGTAAAACTAAATGTTTGGTGTTACTGTATATATATATATATATATATATATATATATATATATATATATGTACTTGTACTTGAGAATCATGATTCGTTGGATTTAACTTAAGCAAAAGTTTTTTTCAGCTTGATTTTACTATTAGTAGATTTGGTGTAGTACGAAAAATACCATATTCATTGTGGTTGAGTGGAAAAATATTACCATGATGGGGTTTATTTCATTGCACCTTACTTTACAGTCATATCAGTCAAATGTATGTAGCATGATTTAGGTCGCTTCTGCGAGCTGCAGTGAATGCTAGAAGCTACATAATACTGTATATTGTAAAATGTACATACTGTACATAGTGGATATATAGTGTGCTCGCTTTGTAAACCCAAGCCGTACGAAATACCTTAGAAAATGGTCTATACTACGACCTTGGCTGCGACCTTAGGCCATGTTGATTTGATTATGTGGATGACATCCTCTGGGAACCCCAAAACTAATGCTAGCGTGCGAATAAAAAAAAGTTTTGCAAAAAAAAAAAAGTTGCTTTCACTATGAAATCTACGTGGTCATGAAGGTTGATCAAATGGCACAGAATATGTTATGGCGAATAATCTACTCTTCGAATTCATTTCTTTGCTATTTTTGTCTTTTTTCCTTTGATTTTTGGCATTCTACGACATTGGTATCGTTTCTAAATGTTTTCCTTGCAACTTGTGGTATATTTTTGCTCATTTAGCAACTGTTTTGCACGATTAACAGTATGGTTGAAAACTTTTTTTTTTTTTGCAAACGGCCGAAAATTCATGCGCGCGCGGATGTCATCCATATAATCAAATCAACATGGCCTTATTAATCAAAATCAAGGAACTCCTGTTTTTGTATCTTAAAGAAATCAATATTATAGCATCTAGAAATGTGGGACATTAATGCGAAACATATGCAATAAAAAGTGTAGTCAATAGATGAGAAATACATTTTCTTTTATTCTTTTATTCCCAAGCACTAATTATCCTTCGATCATTCAGATGACATATAGTATTTTCACGTTTTACTATATATTTAACCAGTCTTACCTAAAATACGTATTTCTATTATTAGTTACAACATATTACACGGAACAACCTATTAAAACACATTTATCTGATTTAAAATGTCGGTAAAAAGTGGGTTATGCGTATAGTCCCTCTAATGCCTTCTGCTGTAGTTGATGGGTAAGAAGAACGAATTATATCCGAGAAAACCAATTCTTTCCAGATATTTTTCACGGTACTTTTATGTTCACTGTTTTCACTATCACTTCTGTACCGTGAACTTATCATTACCGTGAACAAAAAATTCCTTGGCTTTCTTTTTCCTGCACCTGTCACCAACGTGAACATATAGTTCTGTGGACATGTCCGTTTTTGTCAGATCGTGAAATTTTGCTATCGCGAACATAAAGTGAATTACGGTAAGTGTTGTGGGAAAACAGATGAGTAGACTTGTCGTCATGGCAACGCTACTGTTTTTTCACCAGAATGGAGTTTAGGGTTCCTTTTATGCCGACGTCCTCAGAGTCCAGACGGTGGAAAATTACCACGATCCTGGGAACATAGAAACGAGAGAAACGAATTGGCTCAGTGCAAGACAATGCGACCATTCGTAGGCACTGCACTAAGTTCACGTTACTGGAATTAATCTCCAAGCAGATACTAGGGTGGCAAAAAGACAGTACTATCAAATTGGTCAGGCGGGTGGGAGTGGGTGGTGATTTTGATATGCGTTTTTGTAGAATTTTTAAAGCGTTCTTTTAACTGCCGGCCACCCTACAACCAGCCGCCCAGAGATGGTTTGTACCCACCGAACCGTAGCAAAATTTTATAAACACGCAGTATCAAAACTCCCACCTGCCCGGAGGCTTGCGGGGAACTAGCCTCTACCAGGCTTGAGGCTAGAAATCGGCCAAAATAGAGAGATAAGCATGCCAAGGGAGTTTGTCCGTTGGGAGAACAGTTCGCCGTAGCGGGGAGCATAGAAACAGGAGATCTAAGAGACCTTTTCTTTAATTGAAAGAACAATGCCTACTTACGAAGACTAAAAATTATAAAAGGCCTGATTCCGCCTTACGGAAAAGGGCATGCAGGCCCTCTTTAATGAGATGGAGCTGCCATCCTCACCTGTCGTACTGCACAGGTAGTTTCTCGGACAGGAAGTCGAAGAAAGCCTTGGAGTACTTCTCCTTGTCTTTTTCCTCGTCAAAGGACTTGATGGCGCCGATCTCGAACTGGACGTACGGATCGAATGAGCCCGCCCGGAGAATTCTCTGCCCGGCGTCCACGTGAACTGACACGCGCTGTGGAATGAAGCAAAACGTATTCGCAAATACGCCAAAAAAAACAACAACAACAAAACAAACAAAAAAACAAAGAAAAAGTTACTAAAGCAACTGGATATGATATTGGAAACGGTCAGAAGTTCCGGGTAGCATACAAGTGTTACCTTTCGTCATTTCCCCAGTTGCTTGAGTAACTGTTTTTGGCGTATCTTATTACCTGGATGTCTAACCTTCACCAACACATTCGCAAATATTTTGCTCGCCATCATATCTCACTGACTGACTTCACGCGCCGAGACAGTAGCTAACAATATCAAACCTAGAAGGTTAAAATTAAGAATGATGAAACCTCCTTGCACTAATACTAGGCAATAGGGTTTAATCTCGAACAAATCTCCTTGATTACACCGAACGACATGCCACACTTCAACCTTTGCACATCTAACTGCAATCTCTCTGTATATAGGTATATACTAAAATATCAAACATCTAGTTATAATATCCGTACAGTGTACTTGGTGGCAGTGACTTCCAATCTTCGATGGTTCAGTAAAAGAAAAAAAAAAAACCCTCTGGCTTCTTACCCATTCTTCCTTGTTGAGAAGCTCGGCGATCATCTTGGACGTCTCTTTCATGAACTCATCGCTGATCTGGTCCGAGGACAGGTTGGTTTTGATGTGAGCCAGCGGCATGTCTTTTCCTAAGATGCTATATATATATGAAAGTAAATTAAATTAAAGTGATAGTGTAATGAACTGTTCTTATTTTGACCAATTCTGCACTTCCTAAATATACCGCATGGAGCGTGTAGTTCAAAGGTCAAGCTTAACAAATCAGGCAGCCGGGTGAACTTAAAGGTCGCTGTGTCTCAGTTATCAACTGATTGAAATCCATTTTGAAATTGGGAGATTTCAGTATCAGTTAAAGCACCGGGTCCTATCAAGCTCTTAATGATATGAGTTCGGGATGCTCTTCATGCTAATACATTTACGGTAACATTCATATATAAGACCACTGAGACTTTTAACGTTAACGATAGACCAGGAAGCAATTGAACATCGTCAATGATCGTGAAATATTTACATGATTGATGCTGTCTATGATATGTACCAATGCAAATGCGTTAGGTACACATCATTGCCATGCAGCTAGGTAAATAAACATAGCCACATCAAAACACCCCTTGAAGAACGTAAGGCAGCTTCTGTAGCCGACTCACCTTACTGCTGCATGCAAGATACAGGTGAACTGTGAGCTGACTGTTACCTTTGACCCACCTTTCTACGTCATCGTGACAGGACGTACCATGACTGACCGTGCCGGCACGTAGGCATGCTAGTATCATGTGGCATATCATATTTTATTGACTGCAAGTTATAATATAGTATCACTGTGCAAAGGGATTTCAGATAACTGTGTCCATCATATCACCAGGGTCCATAATATCGCCACCTTGAGAAATAGTGTGCTTAAAGATATTTTTACAGCAACATACCCTAGGTATGTTACATTTGATGTGTGAAGGAGTGCATACCAAAAGTATGTTGCAGTAAAAATATCTTAAAGGACACTATTTCTCAAGGTGGCAATATTATGGACCCTGGTGATATTTATAATGGACACAGATGTGTAGATGTGATTTTAGTTAGAGAAGGCCTAAAACGTTAGGAACCTACATTCTACAACATTTAACTTCGATATTCTATGTAATAGCTATAGTACGGCGCCAATAGCACCAATGCTGTTTTTTTTTACAGAAAAAAAAAGAGAAACGGAGAAACTGAGAAAGAGCACACAAATTATGGGCGTCGTCCCTGTAGGCCAATCAGAGGGCAAGCTCAGCAATCCTTGGTAAATAGAGAAATAACCCAAATCTATGGACCAAGGATTTGAGCAAATTGGAACAACTAAATCCGACAAGTATTGGTTCTTTACGTCCACAAGATGGACTACGAATGCCTCAATCGTATGACACGTTTTTATTTGTCCACTGAATTAAATATAAAAGCTGGAATGATTAAAACAAACAGATTTTGTTGTCAAGAAGGACAACTTGTGGGCGTTGTCCCTGTTAGCCAATCACAGGGCGTCCTTGGTTCTCCTTGCTAACCTCAAACGAGACTTGAACGAGACTTCAAATTTACAAGATTCTGATTAACATTTGGAAGGCGAAAACACTTTTAAATCAAACAAAGGGTATTCCTGAGTCTTTGTAACTGAAATTTATTCAATATTTGATTTGTATAACTTATTTGAAGGCTTGTAATATTCAAGTCACGTGATCAAGTATGACGAGGGGGCGCGAGAATGTGACGTCATCGCTATCGTGCGACCTTCTACGTCCATCGCGCGAACCTCGGCGGTTGTGTGACGACTTCTTCCCAAGTTTCCTCCTCGTAAGTACCTTTATCATTCACACTTCGAGTTCATACTTGGTGGTCCGTGAAATAAGGCACTAGTCGAAAGTTAGGGTCACTTTGAGTGTCATTTATTTTGAGGAAAAGGAGTTATGACCAAAAATGTTTCTCACAAAAACAGCCGCAGGCCTACGTGCGTGCACAGCTGCGACGTGCCTTTCATGGTGCCCTGATCACCACTGACCTTTGAGCTTTGGTCTTCAAAACAATCCCGGGCGGACATTTGATCGGTTTACCTTGGGTTTTCAAAAGATGCTGCTTTTATTTTAAAGTTTAAGGTTACAGCAATTATTGTCACACGTAGCGTCCCTTCTTTTATGTACTTAATCAACTGAATTATGCTGGTATGTCGAGCCGAGCTATATCCGCGATTAAGTTCGTAACCCAGCAATCTAGCTGTTTTAGTAGTTGTAAAAGTGACATAACATCGCAATTGCGGGTTGACAATGCTTGTAGCCGGTTTGCGTGACTTTGAAAAGGGCATTGCCCGACCCCATAACACACGGGCGAGTCGGCACGTAGCGTTGGGCTATGCCATCATGATCACGTGTGGGGAGGGGGGCGTGTCGTGCGCTATGGTATTCTAATATACGAACATGATGTTATACGTCCATCAAGGACCCATGCGGTCGTACTCCTAAGTTAACGTTTTTGAAAGCAAATGACTGTTCTGTATAAAGCATATACTTCACTGTTTTCTGTATAAAGCATATACTTCACTGTTTTCTTGCATCTTTAAAAAAAAAGGTCAGAAAATGGTTTGCTTATTGTGATAAGTTTGCCATGCTGGTGCAGGTACAAGTATTAGAAAAAAACTGCTTCTTAAGCCATGGTGTTGGTTTTGAATGGTGGTGCTAAAATAACTGTTGGCTCAAAATACTGAGAAGAGTTAGCTTTGTTTTTCATGCATGGTACTTTAGAAACTAAATTAGGGTGCTTTAGTGACAATGCAAGCTTTTAAGGTGGTTTAGTTGGTAGCAATCTTCCAGATCAAAAGCTTTGAGATTACTATCTCAGTTACACGCCAGCTTGTGATGTGAAGAAAATCCATCAGTTTTGAACTCACAAGTCAAAACAGCTAATAGTCATACATAAAGGTTTGGTAAGTTGGTAATGCTTTATAACTTGTGTGTCAATATTCATGTGGTTCAGGTTAGTGTGAGGTAATCTAGACATGAAGTTTAAAATGTTTGGTGAACTAGATGAAACATTGAGGGTTTAGGAAAATGAGTTGAGGGTTTAGAAAAATGCGTAGTCATGATGATATTAGAATGACTTTGAAGATTTGGAGTGACTGAAGCATGAGATAGTAGCTTCCTTTGTGATCTGAAGACCCTTTCCTGCTCTCTACACTTCATGGTTTCTTCCTAGAACACAGGACATGACATCACAAATAACAGGAAGTGACCTGCTACCCAGAAGTCACACTTAGAATTTTTAGTAAGGATATAAAAGTAAACTTGCAGTGAAAGTAGCAAATCTACCAATCTACATTGAGCATAGTGCAAGGTATGTACATGTACAGCCATGACTTTACAGTATTTACAGTTGGATCAAAGTTGAGGCAGTTGATACAGTACTTGAACCTTTATTATAGTGTCGTGTTTGTTCAGCTAAACTCTTGATTTATTCATCAATTCCTTGGGACCTCTTAAGTGGTCTGAATAATTGATGATGGTCAATATGGTATGGTTATAGTTAGGAGCCTGTTGTAATACCTAGGACATACTTTTACTGCTGAAAATAAGGAAAGCCTCTTAAAATAGACTAGCCACAAATGTATAATGTTTCCCTGACTTTTAATCTCTTTAGTTAAGGGGTAAAGTTGCCTGCATGAAGTTTTAACAGTAAGTGAATTTCGTTTGCTTTTAGTACGTGTAATTGTCCTATCCCCATGTGGAAAAATACTCTTCAGAATTAGCAGATTTAACCACTAAAGGAGGGGACAGCCATTTTTATCTTTTCTGCCCCCTAAAACTGAATGGTTCAGCCTTATGGGTCACTGTTCCGTGCACACGTAGAGGTCGTCTCAATGTCAATGTGACTTTAGCTGATATATATTTATAGAGCCCTGTACGGCAGCCATCTTGCCCAGACGCCGGCCGGTAGGTTCAGACACATAAATTTTGTCCACGAGTTAAAAGGACACTTCTTTCCTCCGCTGTCGGTCACCACAGTTTGCTTTCAGAGCTCTGGCAAGGTAAGATATATATACTCAAAAGCCAGGTGTGTATACTTTTGGGTTTATCTTAGCCTATCTAGGTGAGTGACATTTATTTATGCAAAATGGATAGAATTGCTTGGAAAGCATAATATTTAATGCACAGAATAAGTATATATATCCTTGTGGCAACTAAGCTTCAGTAGTGTGTGCAACTGTAAAAACATTGATCTGTCATGCATTTGTAATGTGGGAGCATTTACGTATAAAAATTATGTTCTAATGTAGGGAGTTACAAAATTCCTACTAAGTATAATGTATATCCAATGCATTAGAAAGTATATTGTGGACACTCACTTGCATGTACCTGACTACTAATATGATATACATTTTGTAGATAACTTGCTATAACCAGCAGACCATCCTGTCCAATTAGTCTATTACTACCAGTAATTTAACCATGTAAAATATGGGCGGGCCACTGACTTGGGCTGGTTGTACAGGTCATTGACCTCCCTACTACATGTAGGTACTGGCTCACATATCTACTTTTGGCAGTTTTTATTGGCTATGCTTCAAAACCCGGTAACATAAAATCGGGAATAGAAAGAACGTTGCCCTTGTTGTAGGTCGTTGAACTGTGTAACAGCTGAGTCTATCGATTTGTCATACTTTGTAGGTCAAACCTACTGAAAGCATGTGACCTTGAGACTCTTGTATGTAGCACAGACTGCACAAAAGGGGTGGGAGGGGGGCACTATTGAGGGTCTGCATGGGGGTAGTGATTTCGAATTACGCAAAATATTCGCTGCCGATTACAAATTACATTATGATTATGACATTACGATTTGCGGCTAATGTCCTATTACGAATTACGTTGATTTTCGCGGAGGCTGCCTACGGATTACGAAGTCTAAAAAGGCCTGATAACACCTTACGAAAAAGGGCATGCAGGCCCTCTCTATTGGCTCTGTTTCAACTGACCTGGTGGTTGTAAATATGTGTCTACAACATTTGTCTGTCTGATGTGGTAGCATTTTTGCATTCCGATAGTATCAGTGTTCATGTATGTTGGGAAGTCAGCAAAGTACACATCATAAATTGAGTCTTGGGACTTACCCCAAATTTTCGACTGACTCCGTCAGCCTTGTTCACGGAATGGACCCTTCTACTGCAGCTTCCGGGACGTGACGTCGGAAGCACGTGATTGCAGCAGAGGGTCATACGTGGCAGATAACCTATGACGCCCCCCGTCTCTGTTCAGTGTTGGACGGTTGGCCCGAATGTACACCGCCTCTTTCACTCCTCTCGCAAAGAAATCCGGTTCTGTGTCCAGGATTTTTACCTGATTTTTACCTACCCACCAGCACATGTTGGTGTTGGTTAAGTAAAGTTTAACTGTTATCATAATGTTATATACCAACACAGATGAACTTTCATGCAAAGAAATTGAGTCTGTTTAACCATGGATTCTTAATGCTATATATGGTGAATGGGAAAAATAATCAAAGGGGTCACCAAAAAGTGGTCACATTGGCCAGGTGGTCTTTATGCAGAGCAATAAAGTACAGGTTTAACTGTATATCAATGATCAGGTGGTCCTTATGGAGAGGTGGTCACTAATACAGATTTGACTGTATATCAATGGCCAGGTGGTCCTTATGTACATGTAGCGGTGGCCATTACAAGTACAGATTTGATTATATATGATCCATTTACAGGCCTAGGTTATAGCAAGGAGCTTTTAAAAGCTTTTATTTTTTTTAAAAGCTCCTTGGTTATAGCAAGGAGCTTTTATCACACAATAAAAGCTCCTTGTGATAAAAGCTCCTTGGTTATACATTATAGGTGGTACAGTTTGGAGTCTTGACACTGACAGTACATATTTGTGCAATACTGTGTTTTACACTTGAGTCTTATATTTTCCAGGTGAGTACACTCACTCACTCACTCACTCACTCACTGTCTGCTTTTGTCTGTTGTGCTTGCACAATACATCTGGGGCTTGATGGCAGCACGCCACTTGTCTCTGTCCTGTGGGTTGATTTTATCTAAGTTCAGGTGGTGGAGGTCCTCCCGTACGTTGTCATACCATAAATCCTTCTAGGGCGGCCACGGGGGTTTGGACCCTCCACATCCAGTGTGAGGATCCTCTTCGGCCATTTGACCCTGTCCATTCTCTGGAGGTGGCCGTATCATCTAAGTCTGTTGTACCTGACTGTGTCCTGTATGTTATGGACTCCAAGCCGCTTACGTAGCTGTTCAGTTGACTGGCAGTCTGCCAGTTTCCTCAGGAGCACATCCATCTAGATTGTATGTGGTAAAGGTTTAAGTTCTTGACTGTATTTTTCTGACACTGTGTTTTATACTACTTTATATTTTCCAGGTCAGTACAGTGACCCAGTAACCAACACAGACATCCAAGATGGACATGCCCCTTACACCAGAACTGAAGGCCGAGTTGAAGGCCACAGCCAACGCCATCGTGGCTCCCGGCAAGGGGATCCTGGCCGCTGACGAGAGCACAGGTAAAACTTTACATCGATCTAGGGACCATCTATATCAGCTCAAGAAATAGCCATGCCTTCAAGTACCAGACTTATCAACTAAAAATTGTGAAACTCGCGTTACATGTCTCGTGTTCTGGACATGCTTGGATGCCAGACCCCTGCTCGACACAATACTCCCTTCGGCACAATACTCCCACAAGCCCCAGTCCCAGAGTTAGCGCCTGAGGTTCTAATTTATGTATTTTATGGGGCCAGGGTGTCTATGGAAAAATTTTCAGAGCTGAGAAGCCTCTACTGGCAACAGTCTGACACCAAGGCTAGATATGCTAGCTATAGGGTCATCATTTTCGAGTTAAATATAGCTCTTAGCCTTGTGACAAGTTGGTGTAGGTTTGGGCCCCCTAGAATTTTTTTTCCAAACTGCAGCATCCAATTTCATTTACAGGAACCATGGGGAAGCGGCTGGCGAACATTAGCGTGGAAAACACGGAGGAGAATCGCCGGATTTACCGGCAGCTGCTGTTCACCTCCGGCCAGACCATGAGCCAGTACATCTCCGGCGTGATCCTGTTCCACGAGACTCTGTACCAGAAAGCTGACGATGGAACGCCATTCGTCAAGATCCTGACGGACAACAACATCATCCCTGGCATCAAGGTGGGCACGCTCGGGAGAAAACATTTTTCTTTGTGTTTAGAGTTAAAACTTTTTTCTTTAAAGTAATTTTTATGGATGACATCCGCGCGCATTAATTTTCGCCTGATTTTGGGGAAAAAAACAAGAACTTTTGTTGCCTTCTGACAGTGGTCAACATGCCGTAAATGGGTAAAGATGCCTGTTGCCATGCCGGAAGGTGGATGGCAGATAACTATGAAGAGAGGAGACAAGAAAATGCTCTGAATTAATGTTTTGTTTCTTACTTTGATGCAGTGATATGTGATGCTGGCTGTTTACATGTGATGTTCCCACTGAATAAAACCATTTGTACAATGATTGAGTCAAAATTTTAAACTATTGGAACTTTGTTTTTTTCGGCCCGCCTTGTTTTTTTTTTCGCCCGCTCACATTAGATTTCGAGTCTGCGGAGGATGTCATCCATAAAATTTACTTGCTGTGGCCTTAGAGAAATAATGTAGTTTGGAGACAAATTATCATCCCTGGCATCAAGCCGGTGGGTACCTCCAGTCCTGTAGAAACATTTATTTATTTATTTATTTCAGCTTCATTACAAAGTATGTAATTGGACAGGGGGAACAGGTCTAGCCTTTGTGTTAGCCCCCTGTCCAAATTAAAAACATAATAAAATGAAAAGTACAATTAAAGCAACACCAAAGACTTATGCAAACATACACAGATAAAACAAGAAACAATCACAACCAATGACAAACAAATAAATACATGTCCACGGACACATAAATATATAAATGAACAAATGATAATAGTGACAATAACAACGCTAATAATAATGATAAGAAAACAAATAGCGGAGTCTAAGAACATAGGGTATGCCAGGTGTAAATGTTATCAGGATCAAATATGTCAGACAGAAGGTGATGATAGTGACTGAGGACGAACTTTCTAAAGGTAAAAAAAGAGACGTTTGGACTTGTTTTAAGAGACCTGGTGTTAACTGGTAATGTGTTCCATATGTGTGTATTTATGTCTACCTCAGTCAGAAGAAGGAAAACATAATGATGTTGCTCTGTCTTCTCTCTAGGTTGATAAGGGAGTTGTCCCACTGGGTGGCACTCGTGAGGAGGGAACCACGCAGGGTGAGTCTTCAATGTCTTTCTTTCATCCCAGATAGTGCAGCATACTGGTTCACTGGACTTGGATCCGGACTTGTAAGAATGTTTAGGTTCAAGTCCAAAAAAACCTAAAAGTCAAGAACCGAGTCCGGACTTATTACCATAAAAGACCATTTCACATACCCCTTTTCTTTCCAAACCACCTAAAACCTTCCGTAGATTGCAAAATCTTTGCTGCATAATGAAGAAAACATTGCCATCGGGCATCGTCAAGTGTTGGCCTCCATGTTATGTGGCCAAAGTTTCACCCAGACAACATTTTATTGCAAGGTGGCCAACATGCAATTTTGTATATGCCAATGGTTTAGGTCCGGACTTACAAGTCCGGAACTGAACCTAAACCTCTGGACTTGAATCCGGACCTGAACCTAAATATGGGTTTAGGAATGCATCACTAATAGCCTGGGTACCATCCTACTTGCTTCCCTAAGTACTTGTTAGGGAAGCGAGTGTGGGAGCCCCGTTATACAAGTAGGATGGTACCCAGGCTACATCACTAATCCCAGACAGGGCAAATCTACATCAGATTTCTGTACATCAACATTTTATAGACCCAAAGGCATAGTGACATTGTGATTATATAATGATTGATTTGATTACACTTTTCTTAAAGTTCAATTTCTAGCCTTAAGAGAACCTTTGTCTGTTCCTTTATGGAAAAGAAGCATGAAATCCAGTAAGATAATTCTTTCAATCAGTGACTATTAAATCCTAAGGTACATACCTCCGAATTTTCGACGACTAGTCAGTTCGTCTTGATCACGGAATGATCCTAGTCTCGCGAGAGAACACGAGACTAGGACGAGACTTGCGTGGATCTTCTGCCCCCCTCTGCCTCCTTGCGGAGTAGAGGTAGGTAGGGCTTAGGCAGCATCCAGCCTTCATTGCGGTTCAGCTTGGCTCCCACTAGTTGGATGTGTATGGCCTCCTTGATCTTCCGGTGGGCGTTACTAGGATCATTCCGTGATCAAGACGAACTGACTAGTCGTTGAAAATTCGTAGGTATGTACCTTAGGATTTTATAGTCATTGATTGAAAGAATTATCTAACTGAACTTGAACTATACGTGACTGATGAATCTCTTCAACGATAAGCATGAAATCTCCCTTATATGATGACTCTTGCTACAGGCCTTCATGATCTGTTAGGACTCAAAACAGTATGGCCCAAATATAAATTGTGAAGCATAGCCAAGATAATACTGTAAAAGCATGCAGAATAAGAGAACCTGCATCAATTTCCAACCTCACGTAAAAACTGTCAACACAGCCAAAATAACGGTGTAAAGCCTACAGCTGTTAATTAACAGAAAGTACATCCCCTGTACTACAGGCCTTGACGGTCTGGCCGAGCGCTGTGCCCAGTACTACAAGGATGGCTGCCGGTTCGCCAAGTGGCGCTGCGTCCTGAAGATCTTAGGAAGCACGCCGTTGTCCCTGGCCAAAATAACACTGTTGTTGCACCCTCTTTCCCTCCCTCTCTTGTACTACAGGCCTTGATGGTCTGGCCGAGCATTGTGCCCAGTACTACCAGGATGACTGCTGCTTCGCCAAGTGGCGCTGCGTCCTGAAGATCTTAGGAAGCACTCCGTCGTCCCTGGCCAAAATAACACTGTTGTTGCACCCTCTTTCCTCTCCCAGTACTACAACTACGAGGACAGCTACCGCTTGTTTCTTTTCAAATGTTAATGGTAATACTATCTTAGGACTCAAGGTATAAACTGTCAATGCAGCCAGAATACATATAACACTGTAAAACCTCATTAATAATAGGAATTGTATCGTCTTTCTTTCCTTCTCCTGTACTACAGGCCTTGATGGACTGGCCGAGCGCTGTGCCCAGTACTACAAGAACGGCTGCTGCTTGGTTCTTTTCAATTGTCTTTCAGGACTGTCAACACAGCCAAAATAACAGGAACTGCATTGTTTTTCTCTCCCCTATTCGTAGGCCTGGATGGTCTGGCCGAGCGCTGTGCCCAGTACTACAAGGATGGCTGCCGCTTCGCCAAGTGGCGCTGCGTCCTGAAGATCAATACAGCTGCAGGCACGCCGTCTTCTCTGGCGATCATGGAGAACGCCAACGTGCTGGCGCGCTACGCCAAAATAACACTGTTGTTGCACCCTCTCCTGTACTACAGGCCTTGATGGTCTGGCCAAGCACTGTGCCCAGTACTACAAGGATGGCTGCCGCTTCACCAAGTGGCGCTGCGTCCTGAAGATCTTAGGAAGCACGCCGTTGTCCCTAATAACACTGTTGCTGCACCCTCTTTCCCTCCCTCTCTTGTACTACAGGCCTTGACGGTCTAGCCAAGCACTGTGGCCAGTACTACAGTACAAGGACAGCTGCCGCTTGATACTTTAAAAACGTGAATGGTCTCTTAGGACTCAAAGTATAGACTGTCAATGCAGCTATAATAACACTGTAAAACATCATTAATAATAGGAATGGTATCTTTCTTTCCCCTGTACTACAGGGCTGGATGGTCTGGCCGAGCGCTGTGCCCAGTACTACAAGGACGGCTGCCGCTTGGTTCTTTTCAATGGTCTTTCAGGACTGTCAACACAGCCAAAATAACACTACTGTATATCTAAGGCTTGGTGAATAACAGGAACTGCATTGTCTTTCTCTCCCCCCATTCGTAGGCCTGGACGGTCTGGCCGAGCGCTGTGCCCAGTACTACAAGGACGGCTGCCGCTTCGCCAAGTGGCGCTGCGTCCTGAAGATCAGTACAGCTGCAGGCACGCCGTCGTCCATCGCGATCGTTGAGAACGCCAACGTTCTGGCGCGCTACGCATCCATCTGCCAGATGAACGGCCTGGTGCCCATCGTGGAACCCGAGATACTCCCCGATGGGGAACACACCCTTGAGACCTCCCAGATGGTCACCGAGAAGGTCAGTGGTTTGAGCCATTTTTTTAAAGGCCCATTATGCAACTTTTTACGCAAAAATTTGAAATCTTCTAATTATACTAAATTTTGGTGCTATCAACAGTTGATATCACTTTTCAACACATTTGTGCAATTATTTCACATTTTTGGCGTATATGTTGTGCGTTCAAACAGTCCTTGTTCAGTTCCCGGTGCCACCGGTTTGGTCTCATAACAACAACAACAGTGGTTGGTCCCCTAGGATGGCTAATTCAATTGGTCGATTTAATTTCTATCATGCTTGTATGGAGGGTTTAGCCAACTTACTATGTAAAGAAAAGACTGGAAAATATAGTTTTTGTAGTGTCAAAAAGTTACATAATGGGCCTTTAATGCATGAAATTAGCTCAAATCAGCCCATAGGCTGCTTTCATTATCCTTTACCAGGCTTGGGAAGCGACTGGACAGAGTAAAAAATTTTTCCTAATAGACAGATAACATGCCAGGGAGTAAAAATCAACAAAATTCAATTGTATTTAGTGTTTTATATAATTGTTGATTATGTTGTTATATTATGTTTACCTTTACAGAAGGAAAACATATTGTTTGCTCTGTTTCTTCTTCTTCCTCTTTTTCCATTCCATTCCAAACAAGAATTCCGAGATTTCATACCTCCATGAAATATGGGCTTGATATGTAAATGTGCCTGCAGTTACAGAACAAGCTGCTAGGGGGACCAAACTCACACCACTTATTCCTGACAGGAAAAGCAATCTGTCATGAAAACATCAAGACCATAGCATGTTCAGGACAAAAGATACAAAAACCGGAAGTTCTGCTGCAGTACCAAGGTCATCCACCAGGAGGCCCATATTTGACCTTGACGTTTGTCTTCCTAAGACTTACCAACATACCAAATATCACCATAATCCATAAAGGCGTTCTGAAGTTATGCTGACCACAAAGTTGCGGAAACACAGACAGACAGACAGACACACACACAGACATACAGACACACCGAAAACAATACCTCCATTTTTCATGGAGGTAACAAATAAGGTCAATGCCATGAACCAGACAGCAGTCACCGTGGTAACTGGTGCTGTAGCAGACGCCTTGTGGTGTATGTAACAAGTGGCAGGACAGAGTTGGACGGGCTGGTCACCATATACATGTATATACATATATATATATATATATATATTGAATGTTTTTGAGTAAGAATTAACATGTAGCAACAAATAGTTAGTTTGGCTAGACCATATGAAGGTCGATATTACGCATTTGCTTTGCAAATGTTACCCTTCTAATTCTAGTGAAAAGAATTCATCTGAAGTTGAAATTACCGTTTCTTTGCAGGTCCTGATGGACCATCACATTTTCTTGGAGGGGACACTGCTGAAGCCCAACATGTGCTTTGCAAATTTTACCTTTTTAGTAATAGCAATTAAAATTGGAATCACCGTTTCTTAGCAGGTCCTGTCTGCAGACACCCTGTGGTGTTGGATTACATTACGCAAGTGTGTAGCAAGTGGCAGGACAGAGTTGGAGGAGCTGGTCACCATATATACATAAATTGAATGTTTTTGAGTAAGAATTAACATCTAGCAAACATCTTTGCAAATGTTACCCTTCTAATTCTAGTGAAAAGAATTCATCTGAAGTTGAAATTACGGTTTTTTTGCAGGCCCTGATGGACCATCACATTTTTCTGGGGGGGGGGACACTGCTAAAGCCAAAAAAAATTGACCTGATGTTGAAATTACTGTTTCTTTGCAGGTCTTGTCTGCCACCTACAAGGCTCTGATGGATCATCACATTTACCTGGAGGGGACGCTGCTGAAGCCTAACATGTGCACCCCGGGGCAGTCCTGTCCCACGAGATACACCGCCGAGCAGATCGCTGAGGCCACCGTCACCGCTCTGTCACGCACTGTCCCTGCCGCTGTGCCTGGTAAGGGGGTTGTTTGTTTGTTTGTTTGTTTGTTTATTTCACCTGGGGTAACATGGCCGAGCAGATCGCTGAGGCAACCGTCACTGCTCTGTCACGCACTGTCCCTGCCGCTGTGCCTGGTAAGGGGTTTGTTTGTTTGTTTGTTTGTTTGTTTGTTTGTTTATTTCACCTGGGGTAACACCGCCGAGCAGATCGCTGCCGCCACCGTCACCGCTCTGTCACGCACTGTCCCTGCCACTGTGCCTGGTAAGGGGTTTGTTTGTTTGTTTGTTTATTTTAACTGGGGTAACACCGCCGAGCAGATCGCTGAGGCAAACGTCACCGCCCTGTCACGCACTGTCCCTGCCGCTGTGCCTGGTAAGGGGGTTGTTTGTTTGTTTGTTTGTTTGTTTATTTTAACTGGGGTAATGTGGCCGAGCAGATCGCTGAGGCCACCGTCACCGCTCTGTCACGCACTGTCCCTGCCGCTGTGCCTGGTAAGGGGGTTGTTTGTTTGTTTGTTTATTTCACCTGGGGTAACACGGCCGAGCAGATCGCTGCCGCCACCGTCACCGCTCTGTCACGCACCGTCCCTGCCGCTGTGCCTGGTAAGGAGTTTGTTTATGTTTACTGAAGAAAAACATATTGTTTTTGCTCTGTTTTGTTCCAAACACCTAAGTTCATGTGACGTCTGTCACCATGGTAACTGGTGTTGGCTTACATCATGTTGCAACTTTATAGCAGGAGGGATCTAGACTCCTGTCACCATATACTAGTACAGTATATGAATGCTTTTTTTAAGGCATTGTGTTCCTGTCCTGTGGACATTCCCTAATTATCTGTGCTTTTTTTCAGGCGTCCTCCCTAATAATTTTTTTCCTGTTTTTCAGGCATCGTGTTCCTGTCTGTCGGACAGTCCCTAATAATTTTTCTTCTGTTTTTCAGGCATCGTGTTCCTGTCCGGCGGGCAGTCGGAGGAGGACGCCTCCGTCAACCTAAACGCCATTAACCAGTTCCAGGGGAAGAAGCCGTGGAAGCTGACCTTCTCGTACGGCCGCGCCCTCCAGGCCTCCGCGCTCAAGGCCTGGGCCGGCAAGGGCGACCAGATCAAGGCCGGGCAGGCCGCCTTCCTGGGCAGGGCAAAGGTGAGGGGTCAGGGGTGAAAGGGTCAAGGGTGAAGGGTCATTGACAACTACCAATTGTCAATTGCATTATGTTATGATGTCTATCAGCAATCCGGTAAGAAAGTACAACTTGATCCAATATCCTGCTGTCATCCTGGGAGGGCATAGGTGAGGGGTCAGGGGTGAACTTTTCATAGGTTAAGGGTCATTCACAACTGCAAATTGTCATGTAGCAATTATAGCTCTATGAGTAAGAAGTACAGTTGGATCAATTTTCCAGATGCCATCCTGGGAGGGCAAAGGTGACAAGTCAAAGGTCATTTACAGCTGTGGATTGTGAAGTTGTTAAAGATGTCACAATAGTTTGTGATACTATGGGATTAATACGCAGTGGAATTGGACCGTAATATTTGGCTGGACCATCGTTCTTCATGGAAACTTTAATTTCAATCTGTCTTTCACCATCATTTGCTCCAAGTGTTGCTTCTTCTCTTTCTTCTAAACTGTTTGGTATTACTGCTTGTATACATTGTAGCTCAATGTGGCTTCTCAAGTTATTTTGTACCAATCTTTTATGAGTCTGTATGCTTTAATGGCTTCTATACTAATGAACTCCAAGTTGCTTGGAAAACTGTCTCTCCCACATCTTATAATTACAACTAATCCAAGTAAACAACTTGATGACAACTTCTACAAAAGTAGACAGATACATGTAGGGAAAAAAATCATATTTCTTAATCAAAACTATGACAACCTTCTCCCCCCCCCCCCTGTGTGGTCCACCTACACCAGGCCGCCGGAGAAGCTGCGTCAGGATCATACGGTGGTGGAGTTTCAGGCGCCGCCGCAGGAGAATCGCTCTTCATCAAAGACCACGCCTACTAAACACGCGCCACGATTGGTACCGATTGTCGCTTTTACGTCCGATCACGCAGAGTCATCGTTTCTGCTGCTGTTTTCTTTTTTTGTCTAACACTAACAGTTGTTTAAGTTTGTTTTTATTTAACCACCTTGTTTGTTTGTTCATTCCAGGCTGTTGGTTTGATATACGTGTGCGGAGTTCTGTTTCTGTTTTTATGTTTTTGTTCACATGTTCACGGATTGTTGCTGCTGTTTGTTTTATTGAGCAGAAGCATGTCGGCAGAATTTAGTGCGCCTGCGCAAACTCTGATTTTTTGCAGTTTTCGTTGGATGTTTGTCAATGTTTCATCAGAATTTTGCCTGTTGGAGAGGATATCTTTTCCGACATAACAAAACTACAGACGGAATGTTAACCTTAGGCCACACCAATTTAATTTGTTGGTTAACTTCATGGCTCCTATCACATTTGGGGCTATAATAGGATGCCAAGACCTGTTTTTATTTATTTTTGCCGTGTCGCTTCATATTTTTTTCTGAAAAAATCTGACAACCAACAAATTAAATTGGTGTGGCCTTATATGAGAAGTTCTGCCAAAGTGCAGTGCATAATACATTACGGTTTTTGCGCAGGTGCAGTACGTTCTGCCGACATGCTGTTTTATTGCGCTGTTTTGCAACACGCGTTCACGTTTGCAGTGGCTGTGCTGTTTTGGTTGTTCTGCTTTGCTGCTGCTGTTTGCAATTGTGCTTCATTGTGAAACTTGCTTTTCTGCAGTTTTTGGAGATGTTTTTGTTAAGACTTTGATTACTTTTTGTTTTGTTTTTTTGAAAATGTATGGTGTGTAAACATGTTTACAGTCATACCATATTATCTAGTTTCTTGTTTATGTGGTGTGTATATACGTACTGAATTCCACGTCTGCATGATGTATGATTGTGCAGATTCTGTGTAGTTCAGATCAGTTTGACTAGCATGAAAATGTAAAGCTGATGGGGGTCAGTTTTGTGTCTTTAGGACTTAACATGCATCTTTAGGGAGCAGTCCCAAATTCTTTAATTTGTGACTGAAATCTATGCTACATGTAGCATGCTCAAAACATAACATAATGGGGTTTCGAGGAGTAAAACTTCAAACTTTGATTGCTTGTAATCTACAGCAAAGGAAGTACGAAATTTTGAGGATATAAAAGAACACATAAAATGGCAAACACATAACATTTATCTGCCAGGTTACATATCCCCATTTCAAAAAAACAATGCGTTTGAGATCTCTTGTGCAGCACCCCCCAGATATACAGGGTTCAGATATGTACCATTATGTAGTACTGAGGGACATTGCACTTGAGAGATATCTTGAAACACATTTTTACAGGGTTGAGGATATACATGTACATGTTTCTGACCTGGCTGATATATGTTAATAGATGTTTTTTAATACCACATTGAATGAGGACTAAATCATTTCTTTGGTTCTTGTTCCAGGCAAACGGGGAAGCCAGCGAAGCTAAGTACCAGGCTGGGACCGGTGGACCTGTGTCTTCCGAGTCTTTGTTTGTTAAGGACCACTCTTACTAAAGCATGAACAAAGCAACATACTTCCACACACGTTCAGAAAGACAATGGCTACTACTAGTATTATAAATCTTAGGTTTGGGTATTAAGGTAATAAAGAATAATGTATGGGTAAATTTCCTTTCCCCTAAGTCCCACATTTCTTCTTATCTTTGAAAGTGTATTACTAATTTAACAAGAGAATGAAGCATTGACTGCAGTTGAGTTAAATTGTTTGCTTAAAAGACAATGGTTATGAAATGGGTTCACTTGCAGAAATTTTCTTATTTCTGATGTTCTCAACTCAAGTTTCGTTCACAATTATTATTAATCAAGCCCTTCCTACTTTCTGCAATAAGAAAGTAAAGGAAAACAGAAATTGGTAAGCTGTCCTGGGCAGTTGAAAAATCCTTCCCGGACAAAAAGGAAACATGGTGTAACGGGAACATTCTTCACTCTATCCTGTCACTCAAAATTGTACACTTGTGAGTATAAGCTTTGCAGAGACATGACATACTGTGCAGTTTGTGCTTAGAGCTTCTATTTTCATCTACAGTAGTCCGTTTTATAATTCAAGAGCTTGTCGTTGATCGTTGCACGCTTTGATATAGAATAAAAACCTGTTGCTATCAATGGTAGATAATTAAAATAAGTGGGGATGGTGTCTATACTAATAAATGGATGGTAAGAATTGGTGTATGCAGTTTTAGAAGAATGGTATATTTCTAAAGAAACTTATTTGTTGAGAAAGTATTTGACAGTATTTTACAAGCCAACAGAATGACTGCATACCGAGAGAAATAATGCAAAGAATATTGACCAATAATAAGAAAGAATGTTGAAACAAAAAACAAGTTCAAAAGGCAGTATTTTGACCGGTGATTGTGTATAAGAGTGTTATTCAGCGTCAATTTGATTTTCAGAAGTTGCAAATAGTTTGAAGACAAAACATGTAAGAAGTCTTAATATGCCGGAACTGTGATCCACCTTCAAAAATACATAGAAACAAGGAGTTTCACAAGGTTGGAATATATGCAAGACCGCTCTGCATGCTTGACGGATTTGTGAATTCACCGCAAACATTTCTGGTCGTTGATGTGTATACTGTACATGATTCAGAATGGAAAGGAACTGGTTGTTTTGGATGGTGTTTGACAGATGTACTTCCTCTGAGCTTCCGTGGGTGCAACTCTACTCCAGGTTGAAAAGTAGACAGTGGAAAGTCGACTGTACATGTAGCTGCTGCTGTCTTGTATGCTGACTACAGAATAAAACATCCTTCATTGACAACTGTCTTCATACTCTTTCAATTACGAAAAAATGTGTGAAAGTTACACGTATATGTCTGTGTCTATACAGATGGTAATTCGTCAGAATATCTGATTCTACCACTACTAGTAGAGATCGCAATCAGAGACTCTGATCTGATCAGGATGCTAATAATGTTTCCCATTTACAAAAGTTTCAAGTGCGCCACGTGTAGAGCCTCAGCATGGAGGTATAAATTTAACCTCAGTAAGGATAGGATCAAAGGTTATGACTACAGGGGGTTTGGAGAACATACTAGAAATGCCTTAATACTCAATAAGTAATACACAATGCCATGACCAATGCAATACAGCACATCCGATATTTTTTATTATCATGATTGATGTCCATACATAACATTTAATAAGCACAACAAACACAGCATTTGCTGACAAACAAACAACAAATTCCACAATTAAGGACAAAACATCAGATTCTGGTGCAGAAAGGCTCTTAAATTGAAGTTAAACATGCTGCTCAATCCAGGATTTTTGTCACTCTTGTCTCTCTGTATATTTAGTATTTGTCCGAGTTAGCCCCACAAGTCAATCCAATTGTTTTTTTTTTTACCAAATGGTAACGTTTGATTTGATACTTGTCTACTTCCAACAGCTGTAATTTTTTTGTGAACAATAGTTACCTCTTTCCACAATGGACATTTGTTCATGGTCTTTTTGGCACAAGAAAATAACAAATTACTTCAACTTATCAAATATCAACCCACAATGCACTGTGTTGCATGGACCTAGGCCTGCTTCATACCATGCCAGACTGCCTTACAGTGAAGGCATGGGCCTGAGTGTAGTACATGTACATGTACATGTATCCCCAAGTTTGGCTGGTGCGAATCTCTGCACATGTCAGAAACTGTGGTGTGACCTTCAGCGTGCGAAGGTCGTTCCGTCCCTGCCGACATCCTGCCTCGCAGCGTCGTGGAAGTTAACGTACAGCCTGCAGGGGTGAATAATAGGAATAATGACCACTGCCATCACCTTACACTTTGACCTATAACCTTACATACTTGAAGGATCACTCATGACTTTTGAACTTTCACCATTACATGTTGACTGACATGCACTTGTACATGTATGTCATGACATGTATACATGTACATATCAAATCTGCACCAGACATTGAAGGCGAGGCCATCCACCACCAGGCTTTTAGCTAGGATTTTTTTGGTGGGTGTCCATTTTTTTTATTGTATGCTATGCACAGTGAAGAGTGCAAGATTTAAGGGGGGCTTTTTTGAAATTCATAATGCTCTCAAACACTACTTTCTGCATTTTCAGGTGTAAATTTGAGTTTTTTCCTTCAGTAAACCATCATTTTTGTATTTATAGTAAGGCTGAAGGGAGGCATGTGTGCATGGCAGAGGTTGGGAGTGGAAAAAATAGGGCGTCTTTAGGGTGTCCTACCAAAAAGTAGGGAGTCCAATTTCTTATTATTTTCAGTACAGGGCGTCCAAAAGACACCCTGGACACCCCCTAGCTAAAAGCCTGTCCACCACATGCCCAAACAGTAATCATTTGACTAGTGTTTTAGCCAGCCTGAAATTTTTTTCTGTCCTCTCAATTTTATTTGTCAAGTGACGTGCCATCTGCCCGCAAAGCTGCAAAGGGATACAGAAGAGGATCTGGTGGCATGTTCCCCCGTGAAAATTTTGAAATCTTGACCCTCTGGAATGGTATTTCCTGCATTTTGAAAATTTGAGGTGAAATTTTTGCTGGTAGTAGACAGCTTCATTTGATGACATCTATTCCCATATCTGTACAGTTACGCAGATTTTTTTGTCCAGCAAAGATGACTTATTAGGTACAATATAATATTTGTCCATCATGATGGAAGATTGCTGGAACACCTATCTTAGAAAATAAGAACCGCGACCTGTGCTGCCCCCTCACCTGTCTCCAGGTATGCCCAGGTGTTTCTTGACGTGTTCACAGATGGCTGCGGTGTGAGTCTTGTTCTCCTCCAGGCCGAGTTTCCCGATGCTCATGAGGTCGATGAGGCAGCAGGGCGCGTCTGAACCACCATAGGTCATCAGGACGTCAGCTTCTACACACACACAGACATACTGGGGAGGGAAAGATGAAAAACACGTCAGCTCAATGTGTTCTTTTAACAAGTCATCAGAATGTATTGCTCCTTTGCAAAACCCTGATTTTTCATGGTATTCACTGGATGTTTGGTCAAAATTTGCCTGTTGCAGACAATATCTTTTCCAACACAACATTTTGAAACTACAACACGACCTTATATATGAGACGTTCTTCTGAAGTGCTATGTACAATATAAACGGGTTTTGCGCAGGTGCAGTAAGTTCTGCCGACGTGCACACCATACGTACGTAGAGGAGAGACCACTCCTACTACAGGAACAGAAATCATAATGACAAAAGGACAGCATGCATCATGAGGTCTTTTTCATGAGGTCTGTCCTGGGGAGGCTAAAGGGGCTCTTGTTCTCCTCCAGGCCGAGTTTGCCGATGCTCATGAGGTCTATCAGACAACAGGGCGCGTCTGAACCGCCGTAGGTCATCAGGATGTCTGCTTCTACACACACGCACACATACTGGGGAAGGGAAGGGGGACATTTCAAACCTTGATACACCGTATAGGAGTACATGGAACGTTACTACTACCCAAACTGTAACGTTGCCTCAAAGTCAAACTTTACATACAGGAACAGAAATTATATTATAGAGGACAGCATATTATCATCAATAGCTCTTCATGAGGTCTGCTTCCCAGCAACGTGTATTCAATTTTAATAGCTAGTTTAAGTGCTTATGATGTAGTGCCTACAGCACAATTCAAGCATAAGGTCTCCTGCATCATGCACGTGTAAAGCCTCTAGATACCAAGGCCAACCTGGCTTTAGAAGCTTAATACTGGAAAGGGTAGAAATTGGCAAAGTAGAGATAGACATAAGATCCAAGGGACTTGGTCCCCTAAAGGAGTACAAACCAACTCCCCTGGCATGTTATCTTTCTACCTGGCCAGTTTCTACTTCTTCCAGTCGCTTCTATAGAAAGCCCGAGTACTAGCAAGGACATTATACAGAGTGCAGAGGTACTAGTATTAATTTGTAGAGGCTAGCACATGCCCCTCCCCCTTCATACATGTGTTACTTACCCCCTCGGGTTTACCCAAGATATCGGCCACTAGCTTAGACGTCTCCGTCAGAAAGTCCTTGGGGATGGCACTGCGAGCCAGGTTCGTCTTTAGAACAAAGGAGGGCATGGCAACTTTTTTTCCAACGACAGAAAAGCGACGAAAACTATCACATGTACAGTGAACTGCCGGTATGCTGTAAGGGTCAAAGGTCACAGTAGCTTATAGCAGCAGCGACACCTGCCGATATGCTTGAGAAGTGCATTTAAAAACATTTTACAGTCGACGATTTAGTGAGCGTCTGTCACCTTTCTACGTCGAAACGTCGGCTGAATAAAAGAATACTTGGTTGTGTAAAAATATATAATCTTCTTCTTATGACTTACCAACCTGATGAAACTATTCACGGAGTAGTACGTCGCCAATTCGACGGTCACTGAGAACTTTAAATTTATTGTACAACAGACGAAATCATGGCTTTGATGTAACCTTCCAGATTGTTAGGCTGTTTCACTGAGCAGATAGCTACAACTGATGTGCCTAGAATTTACTCTCCAAGCAGAGGTTTGCGATTTAGCTTAGAGCATTATTGGCGTGTTTTTAGGCCTTTTTATCAGCCTTTCTTTTTGTACTAGTATTGTTGGGTTGGCACAAAAAGATACCAACAGACACAAAAAAGAAAGCCCGAAGAAAAATCCTAAAAAAAGAAACAACAACTCCAAAATAAGCCAAAGCCCAAAGGCACTGCTTGGAGAGTATCACCTGACGTCCTTTGACCCTGACACATATACCCAGTGACATAGTTGTCAAACCAGTTCGATTCAGAAGTAGTGAAGGTGAAAGGTGAACTGACGATCCCGTCTTCAGGCCGCGAAAGTACGCACACATGTACAAAGCTGTCTGGGATATATATATATGATAGCATTTTTTCTTTAACTGTTATCCAAACTGTCAACTGCAATATGAGACAGCAGGTGAACCTGTGGAGCGGCCTAACAGTCGCAGTTGCTGCGTCCGTCGTCCTGTGGGCGTACTATCTGTTCTCCTGCGTTGTTGACGTGTCCTACAACCCTGTGATGCCAAAGAATACAGAGTTTTCGTCCAACTTGACTAACACGTGCGTGCTATTTTCTCTACGTTTCTGCAACACATTTTAAAGGTTAAACAGTTACCCAATGTATGTATGTAAGCAATGTACTTGCTATGCCTGAGATGTACAGTTCATATCAGTAGTATGTATATATTCATGTATACATGTATGTAACGCAATGTAATGCTATGTATTTTTAATGTACTAATTGTAAATACCAATGTCATTCAGGCAACACTATAATTCTATATACTGTATGTCTGCAATATTAAATATATAATCATTGAATAAAGAATTGAGAATTGTAAGGAGCCCCTTACCCAATGTAGTTTTAGGACTGGGAATGCGGATTTTCATAGTCTGACAGTTTTCAATTATTGGTGAAAAGTTTATTGCAAATTCGTGCCCGGAGGCTAATTGCAAATTACAAAACATAAAAGAATAATGAAATAGGGTATAAAATAACTAAATTCTACATGATAAATGTATCTGTAAAGAACTATGACTATATCTAAAACTATGTCTGAAGGGTTTGACTTCTCTTCTGTAAACCATGGAAGATGTAATGTCCCATCTTTTCCAAAATTTGTGGGTTTTGGGAAGTTAAAAGAAGAATAGTTTTTTCTTGGTCTGTAAGTGTAGAGAAATTGGGATAAATTGTAGAAGTTTGAATAGTCAATTCATTTATATCACGCAGAATATCACGCATCTGCCAGTGGCGTCCATTTGGTGATTGGTCCCCATTGGCTCGCCATGACGCTCTAGTTCTGGGACAGTCCTGTCGGAAGAAAACAAACTTCGTTTTCATCAAAGTCCACAAGGCTGGAGGAACGGCCATGTGTCAACTCTTCTACAGGTTTGGCGAAATTCTGGGAAAACGTTTGTCATTTGACATATAAGTCTTTTCAGTGTACTATAGTAAATATAAGACTAGAAAGAGAAGTTGATATATATATATATATATATATATATTCAAGAACTGGTGTAACAACAGAAACAATGATAAATAAATATCAATGGACTTATACAGTAACTTGAAATCGGAAATCACTTTATTATTCAACCTAGTAAAGAACAGAATGTACAAACATGTATTGTGTAACTTGCGAATTGTAAGATGCTGATTTTCTTTGTATTTATGTATGTAATGTGATGTTCCATTTAATGAAAAACAGTTCATGAAATATAAAATAAGAAGTAAAAAAACTCTTCTACAGATTTGGGGTGCGGTATGGCCTCAACTTTGTTCTCCCCAACGGAAGCAGCGATACCAAAAGCTTTAACCTAGGTAAGGAGACTTGTCATATCATTAGTAAGCTATAGCTACAAGCCAGTATCACATTGGCAAGCCAGTATCTTTGGAACTATGATTGGCGTATCGTATTACCTGGATGTCTAACATTCACCGACGCGACATATTGGACTATGACTTCGGATGTTTTATGCGTATGTTGTCCTCCTTCATTGTTGTCCTTTGTGTTACTGTATGTAACAATGTCTTGTCTTGTAACATGCTGGGCCCCCTCAGAAACAGCTATTGCATGCTGAATGGGGCCACCCAGCCGTCCTGAGATGAAATTTAAAAAAAATTATAAATAAAGACATAAGAGTGAAATAGACAAGACAGTATCAAGTACGTCACCCGAAGAAAGAATTTTCTTTCATCAGAAGCTTTCTCTGATAAGACATCTGTCATCGACGCATTTATGTTTAACTTCGCAGAAGGAAAATATGTTGGTTTTGCTGTTTCCTCTTCTTCTTCTCCAGACACACAAGGTCCAATGACCTGGATCAGGCGTCTGTCACCATGGTAACTGGTGCTATAACAGACACCCTGTGGAGTAGAGTTACATTATGTAGCTAGTGGGAGGACAGGGTTGGAGGGCTGGTCACCACCGTGAGATATGAATGTGTTTGAGTAAGAATAAACAGAGCAGTATTTTTTTTAGGCTAGAGTCGCTAGACCGTTATTGAAATGCATCATTTGGCATTGCTCCAGGCTGGCCATGGCCTCTGAAAGAGCGGCAGTACATGAGGCGGATTAACAACGAGCCCTTCAACATCCTGACAAACCACGCCGTGTACAGCCGGGACGTGTTTCAGAACATCATGCCGAACGACACGGTTTACCTCGCCATCTTACGGGAACCCTTCAGGTCAGAAGCGCGTCTCCTTTCCAGGCGTTCCGGGATCGGTCGTTTTTTTGTGTGTGTGTGGGTGGGGGGGG